TTCCCTAAGTTACAGATTCTTTTAAAAACACAAATCCTTCAACGCAGAGTTTTAGAAATAAGTCAATGGGTAAAAGGAGTGAGAATAGTTATGCTAGAAAACCTAGATCGAGGAAAGAAAGGTACAGTGGCTAAATACAGCCAAGGCAGAAAGGATAACAGTAGGTTACTTAGTTCTCATTCTCTAATAAAGGCCCTCCAAGCAGATTATCAGGAGCAGAGCACTACAAGTTCTGTTCACACTTGCAAAAGCTTGTAAAAACCAATGGACCATCATGATGGGCCTACGTAACCTGAGCACAGAAGGACCAGGGCCAGGTCCTTTATTTTCCAACTCTAGAACCAGTATCAATTGTCTAGCTTACCAATTAAATATATTAAACATTTTCTTGTCCTGCATTTGCTCCTCTGTATCATATGTCATTTGTCACATGACATGATCTTAGCACTTAGAAGTCATGACTTTGTGCAAAGCTCAAGCATAGGCAGGTGGTAACGGTTTCAGAGGAGGAAGAGAAGCAGGCTTCCCTGTACAGGTATAGTTCTGGCACACTAGACTAGAGAATCAAGTTGCTGCATCTTAGTCCCCTTCTTAGGAAAGACACTAGAAGTGCAGATTCCTTCCTTGGGCAAATGACAGATGGCTTTCTAGTAGTTCTTGCTTGTCCAAAGAACATAGATTCTCTATTCCTTACAACTCAAATATCCTTCTTTTTTATAGTTTTGTATCTAATGTCTTTCAACTATAAGCCTGATTTAAAAAGCAATTGTAGCCCTTCCTGATCCAATGAGAAAAGCTGGAGGACTAAGGAAAGGTAAAAGAAGGAGGCCGAGGGGAAGAGGAGGAGGGGCCTCTACTCCAGTAGGTATATACTTACCACTTTTTGGTTCCCTTCATTGTCAGTGAGCAGCCATTCAATATCCAGGGTGTCTTTTTCTGGAAGTCCCAGTTGATGATGACAGGGCAAAGTGACTTTTTCCTCTGCCACTCTCTTGATCTCAGTGTGAGTCCCCAAGGTTCCAACATAGCAGGAAACTAGAAGAGGAAAACCTCTAATGAGTAATGCAGAAACTGGATAGCAATGTGTGGGAACCAAATACTGCAATTAATCATCATTGGATGCTCTTGTGGGCAAGGAGCAAGTCAAGGTGTTGGAAGAATCCTAAGACCAGAAGTGCTGAAGTCCCAGGGTCTCACACTGGCTCCTCCATTAACTAAATTCATCATATCTTCTTTAAGTCTGCCAAAGTACACTTCTATTAATGCCTGTCTTTCCTACCTTATTGGGTTTTTATGAATGATGAAATCGCTCAGGTCAAGAACAACTGCGTTTTTTTATCTTTCTCTCCTCTGTTAGCAAAGGCTTCTGATAGGACAGAAACCAAAAGAGAAGTTAGCATTGTCCCCAGAAAAGGCTGATACCAGTTTACCCCTTAGAGCCTTCTTAGAAACAGATTACCCTTACAGACCTCTGAGTAAGTGTAGAAATGCCTTAGGGAACAAGTGGACTCTTGGGGGCAGTTCCTGCTTCCCTTAGGGACACACATTCTCTTATAACCCCAACTTCTATCTTCTATTCTCTAAAATTTCATATCATAGGGCTTCAAAATATGAAGCAACTCTTTCTATCCAAAGCGAAATTCTTAGTTACCACATTTGGATCCTGTCCCTCTATTGATCCGATACCCCTTTAGTCAACAGGAATCCAGTTCTATTTTTGGTTTTCTTTACCTTCAACTTTCATCTTTTTCCAGAAATGGTACCCTGTCAGCAACTTTGGACTCCAAGCTCATCTTCTCTCCTTCCTATTAATCTCTCTCTTAGTACCTGGTTAAGGCTCTGACATTGTTTACTATTAAATCTATAGGACTGATGACTGAAGAATTGATATGATGAAACCCCACCTGGATTCTAGGTATGATGCGTCTGGCATTCCAAATGTGCTTTAGCTCTGGATCTTCTTTTATCTCCTTACATAGTAATAAAGGAGATCAGAGTGAAAAATGATCTCTTTCAAGCCATTCACAATGGAACAGAATCATACAACCTCCAAGGTAAAACAGACTCAAGTGCTTGTGTAAAGTCCTCTCTTCTGGAGGGGACTCGTTGCCACCTCAGAAGCATTTTAAGCACTAAAGACCAAGGATCATGACTAGCCAAAACATATAAGCTACCTCTCTTATTCCCGTTCATTTCCCAAAGTTGATTAACAGCAAATCTGTGGGAAGGAAAAGGGCCTCTATTCTTGCCTGCAGGGAAAAGTAACTAGAGAGAAAGGAGCAGGGGAAACTGGTTTGTTCTCTCTACTGGGGAGCTGATTGGCTGAAACTGCAGGATTACAGCCCTCGGAGGCATCTACCTTAAGAGCAGCAGCATGTGGATTGTCAAGCTCCATAGAAATAGGCTGAGCATAAGAAGGAGCTCCAGAACCAACAGGATAGGCCCCTTGTATGATCTTACTGATATTCTCAACAAAGTTTCTGTTATTTCTGTTTAGGATTTGACACTGCAATGGGAGTAGCCATGATTTAGTGAGCAATTCCTATGGTTTGGCTCTAGACCGAGCACTCAAACCTATAAAGAAAGGATTACTATTCAAATTTCTTGAGGAAACATAAAAAGAAGATTAGCAACTTGCCCAATACCACACAGCAAGGAAGTGACAGAGCAGGGGCTCCACCCAGGTCTGCCTCACTGAAGAGCTCACTCTGACAGTCATGCTTTGTGCTCACGCCCTGTGTTTTATGTGGCTTCCTGGATTTCTGGTTCTCCTACTAGCCAGTAAGCACCTTAAAAGTTAGCGCCATTCACCACTGCATTTCCATAGCACCCAGCTCTGGGTCTTACGCACTGCAAATGCTCTATAAATATTTACTGGATTGATTTGAATCTAAGTCATGCATTCATTTTACCAATGAGTAAACTGAGGCCCAGGGATAAAGGAATCAGCCCAACATCCTATAGTTTATTTAGTGGCAGAAATAACCCATATAAAACCCATCCTCCTTCAGTCCCCATAAAGCAGCTATAGAGCAGGAAGGAAATTAGCCAGTTTGCACTGTACTAAGCTAAGCTTGCAAGAAGTTCTTGCTTCTATCCCTGATCACTTCACACTAGACAACGCTGCTCAAATGAAATCAGTGTCCCACACCCCTGGCAAAGCTAGAAAGCCCAGCACCAATTTGATGCATACACTAGGCACTTACTATACGTTGAATAAATAAGTGCAAAAATCAGCTATGAAAGTTGCCAACTTAAACCACTAGAGGGAATCAAAGGCTCAGGTTTAGTTGATGTCCCAAAAGCGAAGGAACATAGTGGTGGGTGGTGTGCTTTGCCAGAGTGCCAAGTTCTATTTATATCATACCCAGAATTAAATACAGCAGTGCAGGGAGGGGACCACTCAGTGAATACAAATGACTTTACCAAGGCAGGGAGCCTCAAGATCAGTGAATGCACCTCTATTCTTTCCTGAACCTCAGCTCCCCAGACTCAAAGAGACCACTGAGAACCCTGCAGATTTGTCAGGTCCTTCTACACTTTTTTTTTTTTTTTTTTAACCCACATCCCAGCTCTGTAGCCTAAGTGGATGGGGGCCTGAGCTCTGCATATAACCAGGCTTGGCAATGGTTATATTGTCCCTTCCTGCTCACCCACCAGGTGGCTGATCAGCAAGGGTCAGCCACCTGGTGGGTGAGCAGGAAGGAGCAATCTAAACACCCAGGGGGCAGCCTTGGGTTTCCTGGGCATTGTAGTATTCATCTTCATTAGGAAAGACCTTAAAGATCATCAAGATTTCACTTATGAGGAAACTACAGCCTGGGGAATTGAAATATCAAGTCGCAAAGTTAGTTAGTGGCAGATGCAAGGGAAGAACCAAGTGGCAGAGGCTGGGTGTTTGGGACACTTGCAGCCTTTGACAGTGGGGAGAGCTGCTGGAAGGTGGCAGTGGGGAGGACCGCCTCCATTTCTGTGTGCACATGCACAATGCAATCATGGAAGCTGTGGGCTCTCTCAAAGTGGAGGCTTCTGCATGCAACTCAGGCATTTAACAAAGGACTGTTGGGAGCTTGGAAGAATTACCCTCTCTGAGCCTCAGTGTTCTTATCTGCAAAGTGGGAATTAAATGAGCTGAGGTAAAGCACCTGGCAATGGCACATAGGCATCTCCCGCCAAAATGTTCTCAACTAGAAGGGCTTTTTCTCAGATGACTGCTGCCTACAGTCAGTTAAGATTAGTTTAAACTTTTATTCTCTAAAGAGCATTTACATTTATTAAAGTTTCTCTTGAACCTTCAAGACCTCCTTCAAAGATATAGGACAGAAGTAACATTTTTTCAATGTGAATACTTTGATATAACTGAGGAAAAAATAAACAACATATTTTGAAGATGAATCCATTGATAATAGTACATTTTTAAAAAGTGATTTCAACAATTCCATTCACATTAAAACACTCATACTGAAGTCTTTTAAAAAGTATGTACAAAGAACTAGCATTGTATCTGTGGTCAGATAAATGTCTTGGATGACTCAAGAAAATTCACTTAGTCCAACTTAACAAAGCCTATAGCCTTCCCATACTGACAGAAACACTGTTTACATTACATATTGAGGCCGTGTTTCCAGATCAGATTCTATAGGTTTGTGGAGATGTGGCAGGGTAAGAATGCTGACTGAATTTTCTCAGATGGCTCCCCATAGAACCCCTGGTGACTCATCTTGCTTTCATGTACGCAACAAAGCAAAAGGCCAGAGGTAACTTTTAAAAGAAACTAAGATGCCGCATTTAAAATATCCATTCCTCTATTTCCCTAACAGAGAATTCTTCTACTTCTCAAATACTTGCTGAATTCCTACAGGGCACACAGTTAAGTGCTCAGGTCTCACAGTTAAGTCTGGATGCTTACTTTCACCAAAGAATGGATCCTCCAGTGCTGCCCTCAACAACACAGGTATCCAGCATTCCTTAGGGCCCTATCTAAGAGAGGCCACAGTGCTTGTTGCACAGGTGGAGAATAGGTGGGTTGTTTTTTAGAACTGAGATGTTTACCAAATTGTATAGATATACAGTTTATAAGCAACAAAGTAGAGAGACATAGTAGTTACTGATCGATATCAGGTGCAGGAGCTGTGTCATTCACATTATTTAATGTATAACAGGGCACCTGCTAATGGGCAATTGAGGTGTGATTTCAATCTCCTTCCACCTGGTGATTTCACTTTTCTCAATGGACTTGTTCATTTACCTGAATGAAAAGAGAATTTTCTTGTGTTTTGCTTTACCTAGAATATTTCAGAAAGCCACAGGAAAATCAAAATTAATGAATGTCAGTCAGAAAAATACAGAAGACTTTAAATTTTAAAATTGACTTCTTTCATTTTATAGATCAAGAAATTGAGGCTTAGAGAGTAGTGACTCACCCAAAGGCCTTCTAATTTCTAGACTAATACACATATAATTCTGTAGGGGTGTGTGTGTGTGTGTGTGTTGTATGTAGCTTCCAGATTGGAACACTGTATGCTGTGCTATTCAAGATGCAGCATGATGCAATAGAAAGAATATAAGCTTTGTAGTAAGATAGATGTGGATTTAATTAGTGGTGAAAAGACCATTGAATTCTGTCTGACTACTCTGAGTCCTTTTTCCTTCTCTGTAAAATGAGCATAAAAACATCCACTGTGAAAGATTGTTGTAAGGATTATATATGATGTATGTAAAGTGTCTGGAGTTGGTACATGGTATATAGTACATACTCAAAAAATGGTAATTATGAGGAAGACTAGGCAAAATGGTACAGATGATACCATTCTGTTCATACCCTCTTATGACCACATCAAAGTTGTGATCAAAGTTGTGATGGAAACACGGAGCAAACAGCAAGCAGAGTCACCTGGGATCTAGATGAACAGAAGCCCTACAACTAGGGAGAGAAACAAAAAATCACCCTGCAGTGGTAGAAGGTACAAGGGGAGAGGACGTGAGGTTGCCCAGTCCTGATGGGCTGAGTGGGAAGGAGTCTGCAGCAGTGACAG